GGTAATATTGGACATTCAAGCACTGTCACCAATATGAATCACTCGACATGAAATATTTTCGAAGTCATCAAACGTACTTGATGATTGAGCTGTTCGGTGTACCGGATGCACAATCCGTCTGATATGGCCTCTCTAATACCTTAGTATCCTAACAACCGCTCCCTTTAAAAATGATCACCTACCGTTATGATCGCGATTTTTTAAGTGTTGCGACTTTTTCGTAGACGCACATCGTCATTTTGTGAAAAAGTAGAAAGGAATACTGGGCTGAAAAATTTACCCGCAGAGGGTTGTTGAGAAGATCAGCGGAAACCCGCCCGCGATTTACATGGATTCAGGTGAGATAAAGAACCCGGGAGGTTTTGTAGATGTTATTGTCGGTGAGTAAGAAACATTGTGCAGAAGTGTGAGGGTGAAATTCGGATAGATCACCCAGTGACAAACGATTGTCGACGGAAAGAAATGCCTTTGTAATGTTTGTCATCTGGGGATAAGTATAGTTCAAACAGTTTCAAAAATAATTGTTCATGTTGTGTGGCGCATGACCGGTAATAGACAGAATAATTTCGAAATCTTTCTGTAGAATACGGGCAGAAAAGACAAAAGAAGAGTATTAGAGAACAATTTCTAAAAAATAAAATTACAGTTTTACCTCTCACAGAATTGTCCTAGGTTTCTTGTTGGAAAAATGGGAGGGTAAACTATTTTGAGATAGTGATAAAATGAGACTCGTCCACGAGCAGTTTACATCAATATTCAATCCGAAGCATTCGGCAGAATCAAATCTAGTGAGTGGTTTCTTGTTGATTATAGATGAATAACAGGGACAGGCAGTCGTTCAAAGCGCCTGGATAACTCACAACTTGAATAGAAAAGCCAAATTTCGGACAGAGCCTAGAGAGATTGCGAAAATAGTTTAAAAAACTAGCAGAATAAAAGATCCGCTCCTTGTTGTGCTCTTTGATTAGCCACGAGCGGTATGGATATTTTTTTACCGAATCAAGTGCATTCTGTTCAATTTATAATGTAGTCTATCGCACACGTCAATCAATCACCGAATAGCTCACTGCGAAAAGCTCAATGGAAGTGGATGGTTTGGTATTCCTTATTCTCTCCACAACACAGTTCCCAGACTTTCTGTTTATTGGGGTGCAAAGTTTGCCTTTCTTACAACATAGTCGGTGCATCTAAATCCTTTGTAGTATGGAAGTAATCAATCATCATGCGGATTATATTGATATACAATTTCTCATTTTGTTTTTGTTATCACTGATTGACGCCACCGAATCTATGACAGCCTACTTTTCATACGAAACCGATTCCAGTTTTCCACATTCTCTAAATGGCATTAGTCGTGGCATTTTCTCCCAAACTGCCCTCGGAATTACACTAATTTCTTAATGAGGTATACAGTCTATCCTAAAGCCATTTTAATTAGCCCCTCCTCTTCCTAATCTTTATTTGCTTTACATTGGTAGGAGTGTTGCGTGAAAAGAAAACCAGCTACAAAAAAGAGTGAAATACAGCATGATTATACAAAACGTATGAATTGGATTTTTGATCTATAGTAACGCATAATTAAAAGAAATCAGATTGGGCAATATGACCGAATGACAGAGTAATCCAATGACGTGGGTATATTAATGCGACAAAACCGATATGCGGCCAAGTGATCTATCATGACCACGATAGGTCTCATTTGACCGCGTCACCATGACTTATTTATAGAAAAAAAACCAACACCACATGTAATGATATGAATAAACATCAGTTAGATGGAATCTTATCTCTAAGCTTACATCGATGTGAACAGTTCCCCACTACTAGGTTTGATTCCATCGACTGTTGTCTACAGCACGGCTCCCCTAGGCATTAAGACCATGACCCGCCTCATTTTTCTTGTGGCTTCATTTGGTTGCTGCTTGTTGTATTCGTTCAATTTCCTAATGGAATGAGGTATATATGTGTGTATGTGTGAGAAAGAGAGAGAGAGAGGAATCGGAAGCAGACAGAAGCTGGGTGGAATTTCTTATCGGTTTTCCGCGTTCATTCATTTTCTTCTACTTTTATGCCCGACTTATGAGCCATCCACTTCGAAAAAGCTAACATGAAGACGGACATCGCGGTTGGATGCGAGTCTTAAGATATTGTTACAATAAAGCCTATCTTCGCCCACAAATACTTTCTTAGAAGCAAGCAAGCATGCACTCACCCACGCACGTACACATACATGTAAACGGAACAAATGGAGTCTTAGGGGCTTTTCTTTAATCCGGATTAGGTGCAACTCCAAATCGAAGTGCTTCAAGTCGTGTGCTATAGAATCCATCATTTTTTCGCCAAAAAATGTGGAGATCAAAAGGGATCAGGCTTAGTCAGGAATACAACGGGAATTGGCTGCGAGTAAGCTGACAGAGTCGGACATACTTATGGTAATTGGGTATAATCTGATCGATGAATGTCTATTCCCTTTTAATTCATGTAAACGTCAAACTCCGGTTAGCAGAAGATAACTGCATCCAGTTTCCGACCATTGATTGATGTCCGGTTGATGAACGATCATTAAAACTGGAAGAATTATGGAATTTCATTTCGATCGACAAATGTTATTCCGTATTTTATGCATGCCACCGTTTTTCACTCCACATTCTTCAATTTCAGACTGCTATTGCAGTTTCCATCACTTAATTCATTCAGTCTCTCTCCCACACACGCGCTTATGGAGTACCTTTGGATATATCATTTATGCATGACAGAGCCAACGTGCCCCCATTCGTCAAAATGACTTGAAAGCATCGTATAAGAGTTTCATTCAGCCGGTTCGGAATGATCGTCAGTAGAAAGCATATCCACCCCTCCACAAGGACTTGGACTCGACCACGAGGGTTCGATAATTCGATGCGTTAACGGCTTGTGCTAACCGAGTTGGATCTCCGCAGCTTACTACACATAGAAACCAGATGAAACAATATTCCTCCGTTAGTGTGACTAAATGTCCCGAATCACACCAGATACTGATCAATTTCCGGTTGCATGGCTTCTTATTAGTGCCCCTGTTACGCGAGTGACTTTTTGATACTGATCACATTTTCCAAAAAAATTAAGATTAAGTTATATCACTGTAAACGGTGCGAGGCAAATAACACAGGCCATCCGTGCGACACACACACAAAGGAAATGCCGGTTTGGATATTTCGGCCTTATATGATATAACCGACTTTCGAGTTGCACCGGTGCACAATGATCGATTTTCGTTGAGATCAAGCTGGTCAAACTGGTCACAAGTCGTATATGTATCAGCTTGGTGTTCGTCAACGTTTGAAGCACATGTGTGTACAACGGAACCAGGTGCAATCCACCGACCGGTCACTGTATTCCTCGTGTGTGTGTGTTTCTGTCTTTCACTACTTCTACGGAATTGTGATCCAAATGAAATTGTCGGACTGTTATCCTCTTACCCTAATCAGTTGATCCCCAAGCGCTGTGACTAAAGAGGCTTCGGAATGAAGCCAGTGAAAGCGTATGCTCATACGAGCCTTCCAATCTGATGTGGGAGGATCTTAACCGATAACCGGCATATGTGATGAGCGGCAGGATCGCAAAGTGCGTGTCCCCATAAATTTGTTTTCAATAGTTCAGATACTACTTAATATGTAATTGTGAAGGTGCAGTGGATGACTTTTATCGATAACAAGTATGAAACTCTCAATAGGTGATGCTTGTGTGCGAATTCACTTGGTTGCTAGGTCCACTCCCTAGATGTCTATGTTTTGTCAGCCAACACTGTAGTCTTGGCGACTAGCATGAGAAACACTTGTTTGCTGGTTGCATACATAGCCTGTAATCGACTGCTGAATACAAAGCATACACCACCCCATCCCCACCCCACTTCTCGGTGCTCTTCATGTCAAAAACGAATAAAAATGACCACTACTCTATAGTACGAAATAGAACGAAAGTGATTCTCTAGAGCAGCG